TTGCCTCCTCCTTTGCATCCTCCTTTGCTTCCTTTTTGCGCTCCATAGCAGGTTTATAAGCAGGTGTATAACAATATCGAGTGTATATCTTATATAACCGTGATGATTTATAAAAGAATAAAATATTTACTTAATACTTACTCGCATTCTGTATCATAAATTCGCCACATATTCTTGCACTGAGCTGTACCACAGTATATACAGTAGCAACTCTCTTAAATTTAGCGTAGGCAAAATCATTTGCACATGCGCGAGGTAAGTACGTAACCAATCGCAACACTGATTTTCTATCTTACTTCCTCTTTCCATTTTCGCTCTTTCTCAACACCATAGAAAGAGAACATAACCTGCAAAAAGTTTTATTTTGGCGGTCTGGGAATGCGCACGTATCCACGGGAACTTTGTTGAACTACCTATTTTTCTGCGAAGTCGTATTGTTTCAGTGGTGCGCATTATATCTCTATATCTCTAATTTCTTTACCCTGGTAATATGTCACTTTTATTTTTTATAATTGAAGGAAATTATAGACAAAAGGAAAAGTATGTCGGCTCGTGAATCAAATACATGGTGTATTGTGTAGTGTTATAAGAGAATGCAACAAAAATATAGATGAAAAACGACACTTCTTTCGTTTTCCAAAAGAACATGACAGGTACAATTTCATTGTACTTATTATACTTTAGTTACGTTTCGATATTCATCACCGGTACTGTACATTTATAATATATGTAAAATAAAGTATAGATTTTCAATACTGGAAGTGAATATTAGAATGCAGCCTTTAAAACAAAATAAAAATTTGTACTATATAAAGTATTTTTGCAATATTTCTACATTGTTAAGTCTCCTGGGGAGTTGCATCATCCATCTCTTTTTAATGACGTCAGAAGCGAGAAAACGCATGCTAAAAATTCCTGCAAAATACGTCGAGATAAACAGATATATCCACAAAACGACATTTGCGATCGATTAAGTACACCTCTAAAATACTCCGTACACTTTCCTTTTGTTCTTAAAATCAATAGATAATCGGAAAATTAATATGACAAGATAATGAGGAAATTAGGTTAGAAAAGACGATTACATGTCACATTTATTTTATAATTATTTGTTGATTGTTAGAACAAAAGGAAAGTGTACGGAGTATTTTAGAGGTGTATTTAATCGATCGCAAATGTCGTTTTGTGGATATATCTGTTTATCTCGACGTATTTTGCAGGAATTTATAGTATGCGTTTTCTCGCTTCTGACGTCATTAAAAAGAGATGGATGATGCGACTCCCCAGGAGCCTTAAGTTAACTTAAATAAACACATGTGTATATTATACTTATTTATAATCAAAATTCGGTAAATATTTATAGATGGTTACAATGGATACATGCGTGTGAAAGATCAGATTTGAAAGTAATGGGTGCAGAATATGCTTATCATACCTATCAACTATGCCACTTACATTTTGAAGAAAAGTAATATAGAATAAACAAGAGTCGAAGTTATCTTCATCGAGATGCTATACCAACAATATTTTTTGGAAAAAAGAGAGTAAGTTCTTATAAATACATATATCTTAATGTATATTTGTATATATATTTCTTATTCCATATATAATCTCTCTGTGTGCGTGTGTGTATGTGTGTGTCTGTATTTGTACATATTATATACAGCAATACGTCCGTTGTGACAACCGTAATGGAAGAAAATAGAAAAGAGATAGATGAAACTAATGTACCAAATAAAAGAAGAAGGAAAGACAATTTTAATATTGTGAAAAGAGTTATTTGTGAACAACAGGAAAGCAATACGTAATTGAACTTTTAAATATCTTAAATTATACACATCTTCATAATGATTTCTATATTATAAAAGAAGTTACTATTGCAATTTATTTTGAAGCATGCATGCATACATACATACATACATACATACATACATACATACATACATACATACATACATACATACATACATACATACATACATACATACATACATACATACATACATACATACATACATACATACATACATACATACATACATACATACATACATACATACATACATACATACATACATACATACATACATACATACATACATACATACATACATACATACATACATACATACATACATACATACATACATACATACATACATACATACATACATACATACATACATACATACATACATACATACATACATACATACATACATACATACATACATACATACATACATACATACATACATACATACATACATACATACATACATACATACATACATACATACATACATACATACATACATACATACATACATACATACATACATACATACATACATACATACATACATACATACATACATACATACATACATACATACATACATACATACATACATACATACATACATACATACATACATACATACATACATACATACATACATACATACATACATACATACATACATACATACATACATACATACATACATACATACATACATACATACATACATACATACATACATACATACATACATACATACATACATACATACATACATACATACATACATACATACATACATACATACATACATACATACATACATACATACATACATACATACATACATACATACATACATACATACATACATACATACATACATACATACATACATACATACATACATACATACATACATACATACATACATACATACATACATACATACATACATACATACATACATACATACATACATACATACATACATACATACATACATACATACATACATACATACATACATACATACATACATACATACATACATACATACATACATACATACATACATACATACATACATACATACATACATACATACATACATACATACATACATACATACATACATACATACATACATACATACATACATACATACATACATACATACATACATACATACATACATACATACATACATACATACATACATACATACATACATACATACATACATACATACATACATACATACATACATACATACATACATACATACATACATACATACATACATACATACATACATACATACATACATACATACATACATACATACATACATACATACATACATACATACATACATACATACATACATACATACATACATACATACATACATACATACATACATACATACATACATACATACATACATACATACATACATACAAAAGCTATCTCTATTTAGAAATATGTAAACTTTGAGTATACGTATTCTATTTATAATGCACATACTGATTGTGTAACATTTTCATTGAATATTTATTTTTTCTTTTGCAGAAGGATTTTGTCATTGGTACAAAATATAGCCAAATGTGTACAACATCATTCGGCAGTACGAAAACCGGGCTGTTTGCCGATTACATCAATCGTCCAGGTGGATGCATTTGAAGAATTAGACGAAAACGAATACTCCAACGTTGTAAGTAAAAAACAAAAGTATCGTTATTACATCTGTCTCATATTAATTAAAGTAAATATCTCCATTGACTAATGCAATAACTTTTACTGAAACATTTTAAGTAATGGAAGTTTATTACATACATTCACAAGCACGCACGCAATGAATGAACTATTATTTTTCAAAAATTAAAGATCGCAATTAGTGACAATGTATTATTTTGTAACAGTTGCATCCGTTTGTCGTAATAACTTTGACGATACGAGTCCGTATTCATGGTAAGCAATATGTTACACACAATTTCATGTATATTATCTATTGCAACAAGTTTGAAATAAAATCAAACTTCATAGGTGTTGTAAATAAAATGGTATTGTTAACC